CTGTAAGGGAGCCTTATGCTGAAGAACACGACTCGGCGTACGATTGCACAGAAAGGTAGAAGTCAAAACAGCAAAATGCCAATAAGATTTTGGTACCCTCATGCCTCTAAGCAGACAACGTACCACCCCTATCAAACTCCTATTTTTCCTCTCAGCAACACCATTTTGCTCAGGAGTATATGGACAAGTGAGTTGCTGAAGGATACCCTGAGAAGAAAGGTGAGACACTAAAGCATCAGACACATATTCTTTGGCATTATCCGAACGAAGAGCACGAACAATGACATCGAATTGTGTCTTAATCATCTGTAAAAACTGAGTGATTATAGGGAGCACATCAGACTTCCTATGCAAAAGGTAGACCCAAGTACAACGGGTATGATCATCTATAAATGTCACATAATATCTGGCACCTGACAGAGCAGTAACGGGAGAGGGTCCCCAAATATCAGAGTGTATTAGGTCAAATGGCTTGGGTGACTGGTGCATGCGAGGAATATAATTGGCCCTAACATGTTTTGATAGGGAACATATAATGCAATCAAGTTTACCACCAACACAAGCATTACTCAAAGCAGGAAACAACATACATAAATATTTAAAATTTGTATGTCCAAAACGGTCATGCCACAATTGAACAGTTTGTGACGAAAAATCATAACGACAACTACTAGGTAAAATACTAGCATGCAAGCTAGGAACAGAAAAAGACAAAGCAGGTGCAGGTGCAGGTGAAGGAATTGGTGAAACTGGAGATGGATTGCCAAGATAATACAGTCCATCTTTCTCATGTCCCTTGATAATAATCCTCCTGGTACTCAGGTCCTGCAAATAACACGAATCAGATAAGAAAACAACCGCACAGTGAAAATCTCTGGCTAACTGATGTACAGATAATAGATTCATGGCCAACTTTGGCGCATGAAAAACCGAATGTAATGTAAGGTCATCTGGGAGACGGACTGTACCCCTACTAACAATAGGGACATGTGTTTCATCTGCTAACTGAACCTGTGTATGTAATGGCTCGTCAAAAGTGGTGAAGTGATGGGCCTCACCTGTCATGTGACCATTCGCACCCGAGTCCAACATCCAAAAGGGAGATGAACTGGCACAAGCGTGAAAGGCACGAGATATACCTATAGTGGTGACAGCAGCAGTAGTCAGACTCTGAGAAGTCAGAGCAGACATAAGTATATCTAATCGGGAAGTGATAGCATCCATATCATTTTGCCAAGGAGGAGCAGTAGCAGGAGTGACGGTAGTGGGCGGTGGTACCTCAGCAATAGCAACAGTACGGCTGCGAGAAGGTAGCTTAAGCTCTGGATGGAGCTTCCAGCAAGTAGCCCTGAGATGTCTTGGTCGGCCACAATAATCACATTGACGGGAATCCCCCCGTCTGCGCTGATCTGGGGTGCCCTGACGGCGCTGGTCTGAGCGTTGCCTATCCCTGACTAAGGATCCTGAACGGGACCCTACAGCAGCTGCAAGGGCCATCTGGTCAATCGAAGGAGGCAAAGCTGCAACTGGAAGTGATGCAATACGGACTCGACGCTCATGCTGCTCAATCATCCCATACACCTCATAAAGAGAAGGAAGTGTCAACATCGACAAGATCTGAGAACGAGGTCCCTCAAACTCATCACGAAGCCCCATAAGAAACTTGTGAATCCTATCCTCCTGCTCTCGAGTATGCAAGAATGCTGCTCCCTCGGGCTCTATCTTCGGAATAGCAGCAAAAGGACGTAGAGACTCATACTCAAGCCAGCGCTGGGTCAAATAGTCATAATAATCTTGAACGGTCATATCTCCCTGCCGAGCATCTGAGAGCTCCTGAGAAAGCTCATAAACACGAACTCCCCGTCCTGACTGAGAATACATCTCTGATAATGCGCTCCATAGCTTCGGAACAGAGCTATGAAACTGGTGGATCCTGCAAACAGAGGGCTCCATTGAGCCAAATAACCATCCAAGAATGACACAGTTTTCAGAGAACCATGCAGAATATCCAGGGTCGGCATCAGCTGGCTTTGGGTGAGATCCCGTCAGCCAACCAAGCTTCCTTACACGGCCTAAGAAAAGTTGGAATGAGCGTGACCACTCAGGGAAGTTACGACCATTCAACAACTGTGTCGTAACTTTTTGAGAGATCATGCCCGGTAATGCTGGTAATGCAACTGTGCTAGTAGGCACTGTATACTGGTCAAACATAAAAGTGGAAGTACCCATAGATGTCTCAACGGTAGAGGTGTCAACAGTAGGGTTCTCAAGTCCCTCAGTAGTAGTCATATCAACAACAATACTAGGGCACCCATGACAGAAAAATAACTCTAAGATAAATAGAGGAATAAAATAAGGGAGAACAATATACCTTCAGTCGAACAGTAGCGACAAATAGGGAAGGTCCAAAAAAACTCCCAAATAATCAAGTCACGGTGCCCAGAAATCCAAAATATATAAATAAGTGATCTACTGCATCAAGAGCAAATCAACAACCCCTCATAAAAAAATCCTAGATATAACAGTGGGTTGGGTTTAGTATATGTTTAATGGATGGAATAAAAGCAATCAGTTGGTTTGAGGATGGGCAGTGGGCTAGGTTTGGATTTAATATGTATGGGTTTGGTCTGAGTATCGGGCAGTGGGCTGGGTATTGGTTTAATATGTCGGTGTGGTTTGGTTTAATATGTCGGTGTTGTTTCGGCAGGGTATTGGGTATATTGATGCAGGTATATTGTTGTTTCAGTGTGGTATATTGATGCAGGCAGTGTATTGGGTATTGTATTGGGTCTGGTGAGGAGTTGATGTCTGGCTGTTCGGTGTTCGGTGATTGAGTGGTTTCGCTGGGCAGTCGGTGTCGGGGATTGAGACGACTTCGCTGGTTTGGGTTTGGGCAGTCGATGATTGTTTGAGTGGTGGCTGTTTGGTGTGGTTGCTGGGTGGACGGAGTGGGATGCTTGCTGGCTGTCGGTGCTACTGGACAGTGTGGTGATTGATGGCTGGTTACTGTTGCAATGTGAAGGAGGAGCAGCGGCTGGGTCTGTTTGGTTATGACGATTGGCGGAGGTTAGGGTTAGGGTTAGTGGCTCTAATACCAACTTGAGATAGTTGTGAATGAAAAGGGATACTCAAATTAAGAGTAGAACCCCGTATATATATCCAAAAATAATATAGAGTGACTTAAACATCCTTGTAGTTTAGGCAAAATATAAAAATCATAGTAAGGGTAAAAAAGGGAAAATAAATCCTAATAAACCTAGACTATCTATACTCCAACACATATCGATTCATCAGTCTGCGTGTTCTCTACTGGTACATTACATATCGATTCATGTCCTTTTCTTTGTTCTTACAGTTCATTCCGTTTCTATTGATTGTTATTATATAGGAAAAATCCAAAAAAACGATGCATTCAAGGTTTTTTCCTCCCAGATCTTTATTTGTATCGCAATTCGATGGTTATACAAGCTAATTTGTGTTAGGCCTATGGGTATCGATAAATTTGTGCAGGCAATTGAAACCTTGAGATCTGAAAATTCAGTTAGTTATAAGCTGTGAATGCTGCTGATGATAATTATTTTAATTGGACGTTCTTTAGATTGTTCCTAATAGTTGGCAATAATGATTTCAGAGACTCATAAAAAATACCCTGAATGTTAAATAAGCAGAGACAGAATTAGAGGGTTTTTATTTGGATTTTTTTGGTTTAGTTACTATATGATAGGAATTGGTTTGTCCTGTGGCCTTATTGCAGAAGATTGGACATTGGCAATGTGCAGATGGTATGGGTTTTGGTAGGTGATGTAATCAACTGTTTTTTTGCAGAGGTGGAATAGTATGAAGGGATACGTAGTTTATACCGCTATGTTAGGGGAAATCTAATACGAATTCCCAACAAGTGTAGTGGTTAAAATATCGAGAGAGATGGGTTGAAAAGTTGAGACTTGCTTGAATAAGTTGGAAACTACATATGCCTTCCAGGAATTATTGGCAATGGCAGGAACTTGTAGATCATTGAGACGGGTAAAATTTGGGTTTTACCACTTTTACCCTATAATCGAATGTTGAGGACAAAGTTATTATGAGATGTAAGCATTATGTGAGTGAACTTAGCTATGATGATGTGCATTTCCCGTGTCTGTTTTATTGCAATTCTTCCATCTTGTTGACAATTAACCAGTAGGATTGCATGAGAGTTGTATGGAAACACATTGTTTGAATTATTTCAGCAGAAATATAATGAGTGTAGTGGGTTTGGGTAGGTGAATTTGTTATGAGGCATTTGAAATGAAGTATATGCATAATTCTAAAGGGAGTCTTTGTGTGGAATGGTTTATTGCATGGGTGATGGTGGGAGTGGAAGAAAGATCAAAGTATAAAATAAGCTGAGAGTTTGATGGGCTTGTTTTAAAAGCTATATTTTACTCAATGGACTTATATTTTCATGGTCATTCAAAGACATCCAGAGCCTTATATCCTGCTTTAAAGTACCTAAAATATACACAGTTTCCTTAGACGGATATTTGTATTGTGGGAGATTGAAAAAGGATGAGGGGTCTTATGTTTTCATATGGCTCGTAAAGTGAGATTCTAGAATCTCACTAATAAACTAACTTCTTTCTCTTTTTGTTTTTTACGCTCGTATAGAGTATTTTTTGCATTTTTTTCCTCTGATCATTGTCACTTCATGATTTAAAGCGATGCAAGAACATATTCTCTTACCTAAGCTTCTTCCCTATAAATTAGTTCCCCCTTCTTAGATGGTTCAGTCACGCCCGGTGCCACAAAATGATTTAGGATTACGATTGGGGCGAAATTTATTTTGTTCTATGTATTACGTAAGTATTGCATGACCGAATAATTCAAGAAAGGGCAACTAGTGTCTTGCCATTCTCATGATCTCATCCACTTGTGTATGCATTATTTGTAGAAAATTAGATTGTGCATTGCTTTCTTTTCCGTTCTGATGTTTCTTTTTGGGTAGAACAGAATTCTGAAACATGTCGGAGGACATTGAGTACCGTTGTTTCATTGGTGGCCTTTCGTGGTCAACATCTGATAGGGATCTAAAGAAAGCTTTTGAAAAGTTTGGCCATCTTCTTGAGGCAAACGTAATACTTTCTTGTGCTTAAAAGAGAATATTAGAAAATATTCAGTTGTGTGTTTGACAATGCATAGTTAATGATCTCTTAGAAAAAAGGGCCTTAACATGAAGTCTGGAGGAAGTGTCAAATCGCTTTTTAATGAATAAGTGGAAAGCTGATTTTGCATTGCACTATAATTGAAAAAATTATCCTTAAATGCTATTTTTGCAACCAGAAAGCTTCATCACTGTCACTTCAATAATAAGATGATTCGGTGGGTTTTATGAGGACCCTACCATTATGTTTTTTTTGTAGTTAATAAAGAGAGGAATTTCATCACATAATGATTTGTTTTTTTGGAACCAAGTTATGTTGTCATTGACGCTTTGCATTTGGAATCATGGGCATTCAATCGACTTCAAATAATAGTTATCAGGGCTAATGGGAAAAATCAACATGGTGGAAGGTGGGTTTGGTTTGCTGATTCGCTGGTGGGTTGAGTGTTTGAATTGCTTCTTCATAAATGTGTGTAATTTTGACGGTTGTACATGAGCCGTGCTGAGCAGAACCTTACTGCGCTCAAGCTTGGGCTTGGATGAATAGAACACAATGTTGGATCTTGACTCAACCTTGCGTGATGTGTGGCTTTTGTTTATACTACTCGGCTCGTTGTGCATGAGGAGCTACTCTGCTCTGTTCGTGGACTTCATTATTTATAATGATTCGACACTTTCTAGGCCATTTGTTGTGTTCTACTTTGTTGGGAATATATTTTATTCATTACTTTTGATGGAGAACTTGGATCACTTCAGTATTTTATCCTTTAACAAGGCAGTAAGGACTGTTTTTATATTGATTAATGTGAGAGAGATTACAAAAAAGGCAAAAATCAGAAAGAAAATCTATGTCCTGGAATATATATATATATATATATATATATATATATATATATATATACACACACACACACACTTTTCAGAATCAATGCAGTCAGAAATGGGTGAAATTACACTTAACAGTATCTGTAATTAGATATTGAGAGTGAAATAAGACCAAGGCTGATGTGCTCATGTTTTTTGAGGCTTTATGTGTTTTTTTTACATTTAAGGGATAAATATTTGTATATCTTCAGTTTTACAAGGTTAACTAATGGTGATTGACGTCTTGGTGCTTCAATCTAAGCAAAATAATCAATTCAAAGTTTCGATGGGCTGGAATTTTGCATTTTGTGCGTTTCATTTATTGTTAGCAAAACATGTCATCCACTCGGTTTAAGCTGGTTCAGCTGTGAGCCAACTAGTTCAACCCAGTTTATGTAAATAGTGGTTCTATTTATTGACAAAACTGGCTGATAGGCCATTTCCCAGTTCAAGCCTGGTTCCCGAACACCGGTTCACATGACTAACATGCTCGCTTGGGCTTTGTCAATGTTCTTGTGTGATGCATATATGGGTTAGATCATGTCATTTCATGTGTGATCTGTGGTTAATGCTTGACATTCACTGTTGAGTCTCTTATTGGAGAAACTGTGTTATTTGATATAGGCTGTTTTTGACAAGGCCTCTGAACACTCTTGTGGATTTGGGTTTGTCACCTTTGATGACAAGAAAGCAATGGAAGATGCTATTGAAGCAATGCATGAAATGGATTTGGATGGACGAACTATTACAGTGGATAAAGCTCGGCCAAACCAAGGTTCAGATAGAGATAATGATAGGGATCGACCTCGTGACCGTGACCGTGATTATGGAGGTGGTCGGTGCTTAGTTGTTTCCGTTGTAATATATCCTAACCTCCGAACATCATCCTTCAATGCGTATAATCTATGTGTGGAGGGGAGTGTCACTCTCCCTTGGAATGATGTCAAAAGAAAGGGCAACAAAATAGTAGTTGAATGAAATATGTGAACAAAAATGCTTTTTAAGCGCAAAGAGACTTTTGGTTGTAGTGTTTTACTTGGAGTTGTATTCCAAGGTCGTCTCTGCTCGAAAGGAGCTGTATCATCATGAAGGTGATTTTTGTAAAAATAAAGTGTAAAATTTTTTGTTGGTTGAAGGTTGGTTTGTGATTGTGATGAAAATGAAATAGAACAAATGTTGGCTAATCCAAAGGGTTCACTTCAATGAGAATACCAAGTCAATTCGAATCCTTCCTCCAATAGAGCATAGATGTACGATTGATTCGTGGGAAGTTAGGGATGAGATGGAACTGAGGATCCAAGTATAACCCGTGATAAGTCTACGGGATATCAAAGACTCACAGTCCCGTCCATCCTTTACCTAGTCAAACCGCACCATCGTACTTTGAGAGGAGGAAAGTAAATGAGTTAAAATGACATACCCAAGAGGAGGTCTCCCTTGGATTAGCCAACTTAAAGGCTTAGCTACTCATGCTTAAGATAAAGACAACAATGTAATGAGAAGACATTATGAAAAAATGAAAATTGGAGCTAAGCTAATGCAAAGAAACATAAACTAAGAGAGAATACATTTAATACCTACTTTAAAACTAAGAATTTGAAATAAAACAAAATGTACAAATATAACTTCCGGATGATTTATACATGTCCATCACTTCTTTCTAAAGAGTGAATGAGAAATTACTCACTCTTCATAGCTTTGGTAAAGTTAGAATAGTGAGTGATGCTCATCCCTCAAAGTAGAGGAATTACAAGGTAAAACATATTATACAAGGAGCCGATCTTCAACAAAAAATGAATGAATCACGTTCCATCCTTCACGACTTTGATAAGCTCTAGAAAAGTGGAATAGTTTCACTCCTTTAAGGGAAGAAGGAAGATCAAACAATGGAAGTAAAAGAAAACAATACTTAAAGTAAAAGAAGTAATAAATTAAAAGAAATCAATAATACAATAAAAGAAAACAATACTTAAAGTAAAAGAAGCAATAAATTAAAAGAAAGTAATAATACAATAAAAGAAAACAATACTTAAAGAAAGCAATAAAAAAAACAATAATATTTTTGGAGGATTTTTCCACTACCAAAAGATGGATGCTTTACAAGTCCTAAGGGGTGGTATTTATAGGCAACAAGGGAGGATGAAAGTTTTGTTTGGCGGCTTTGAATTACACTTTGATCCCTCTTTGTTTTGAACTTTGATAATTTACACCCTATAGTTTGTAGTTTTGACAATTGACACCCAATAGTTTGTAGCTTTGACACAATTGGCTCTCCAGTAGTTTGTAGTTTTGATGCAATTGGCTCCCAGTAGTTTGTAGCTTTGACACAATTGGCTCTCCAATTGTTTGTAGCTTTGACACAATTGGCTCTCCAATAGTTTGTAGCTTTGACGCACAAAACCCTGAAAAGAACAACAATTAATGCATTATCCCTTATTCATACACTAACCCTAATTTGACTAGTTTAACTTTGTTTAATTAACACAATTGATCTATTAACATAATAAAATTATACATTAATTAGGGTTAATCACACCCCAACCTAAACATTATTAGTCCCTAGTAATAAATAACAACTGAACAAAATAAAATCACTTTCGTAGATAACACGATTGCATTTAGCATATGCAACAAGTCATTAAACCCTTAGGTGATCCCTAGTGGACGAGTTTTGTCTCGTGAAGGTTTCCAATGAGCTACCTACAAACTTTAGTCGAACAGATGTGTATGTGGGATTGCTGGTTAAAGTAAATTAGCATCATGGTCGTTGTGACACCTAGCCCTCAATTTTGACTTACATCTAACCCTCAGTTTTGACTTACACCTAACCCTCAGTTTTGACAATTTTGGGACACCTAACCCGCAAGCTCCTCTTTCATTGGTATTTATTCTATGCAAAAAATTAGCATCAGTCACATTGGCATTTATAATTCCCTGTTAGTAGGAATAGTCTTTCTAAAAAAAAGAATTGTTACATAACAAACATTCCACTTTACCACTCTTCATGGATAGCTTTGATTTCACAAACCTCTCTTAGAAATGCCCTTAGCAAAAATTCCCTCCAATTATAGTGACTTGTCTCTCAAAGGACATGTGATCAGAGGATGACCAATCGAAAAATCACATGCACAGTTAGAAAGAGAGTGAAAATCTTAAGAAAGTAGATTAATCATGTTCTTGGCATAATCTCATGGAAGAATATTAATGCAATTAAAAAAATACTATTTAATATACCCCAGTTTTTCCGTCGACAACACACACATGCATCAAACTTAAGATCAATTAGGGCTTTGTATAGGTTGTAATGTGGCCAGAAGTCAGTGGCTAACGAAATGACGTCAATGGTATTCAAAAGCTATCCTTTTTTTTCATTTTGTATAGCACACCTATTTCTTGCTTTTTGATCTTTTGCCTAGAAATGACATTTCTTTCTTTCATTTTTCTCATTTTTCACTTTCTTGGCAATTTCCTTTTTTTTTTGTTTATTTTCTTTCTCGGTTGTTCCCACCGACTTTTCTTTCATTGAACAATGACCACCATCGTCTTTTATATTTTTCTTGCTTTTCTGTATCATACTGATTTATGAGAGAGTGCAAGAAAATTAGATAGCAAGGTATGTCAAGTATATTCTCCTGTGACTCGGTTATCATATGAGTTTCTTGAAGAATAAATCATTCATTGAAGCTCAAACATGACTAACTAGGGATATAATTTCGTAGAAGCAATGACTAAGGCTCAAAATCAAATCAAAGATGACCTAAAATTCTTTCTCAAGTATGTGCCCATGTATGTGTCGCATGCAAAGGTTCCATGTGGGATATGTCAATAGATCACTTTAGTTGCATTAATCAAAGTAAGTTTAATGAGATTATTCAAAAATTAAAAGTGAAAGAGCTTATTTGAGTAAATGTTGATTGTCTCTCAGAAAGCATCGTAAGGCTCAAAACTTACCATGGTATTCTTCATTATCTCCACTGGTTATGTTAGGTTTTCAAAAAATATCGGTTATATATCAATTCTATTTTCGAGTTTGGTTATTCTGTACCTTAAGAATAACAAATACCAATGTACATTTGACATTTAAGCATAGAGAAAATACCATTTTTCAAGGAAAGAGGCTTTTTTTTTGAAACTGACATTCGAACTCAAATAAAAATCAAAGTTATTTACATACATATTTGTATATGAAAATTGTAATAAGACTAAATGCACAAATTGAACTTAAAAAACTATGACGTCTCAGGATAAGTCCTCTACCCACGCTATAGGTTGGTATTTTAGGACATTCCTTACTCGGCCCACATCTTTATTTCAACAAAAACTATTTATATTTTTTATAAAAAAGTTCGGACCATTAACCTTCATCCCAAAAAAAACATGTTTTTTCATAGCTTTGTCAAAAAAAAAAAAAATCTAATCTGAGTCATCGCTTGTGTCTATGTCATTATTAGTGACCCTTCTAACTTCTTGTCGCACATAACGTGTAAGTCCCGGACGGGTATAAGATGACGTGTCAGGAAAATCCTTACTCTGCCCATACACTATCTAGTTTAATCGATCGGTTGCACAACCCGAAATTGGTTCAGAACACTGATTGTATTTTTTCATGTGAAAAATTCTGCCACATTGTTTACAAACACCTAGTCGTTTGGCACGACGACGTTTAAAAAGTACTTCTGCCACACAATGGTTTTGCTTGTGCTTCTCAAATTTTAATTTTTCTCACAACTCTTGCCTTTCTCATTATCACAGTGTGCACATCAGATGGAAAAGTACGTAAAATGCCTAAACTGAACCAAAAAAGTTTACTATCCATGCTTGCTAAACTAAAGACACCCTATCTGGTTCTTTAACGTCTGCTAGCCATAAAGACGATTGAAGCTGTATTCAATATGATCATAAAATAAGCAAAAATACTGTAAAAATACGCAATCTAGAATAAACATAAACAAAACTTTTGTTTTTAAATGCAGAACTGTGAACAATTTAAATACAAAACTAGAATTGTAAATATGAAACTAGAATAAATTGGAACTGTAGATCATACCCCCAACCTAAACTGAACAATGTCTCCAATATTTCGAATTTACTAGTGTATGGAGTTTGGAAATGAGGTTGTAAGGTAGAGATCTGTTCATCTGCCGAAACCTACAAACAAAACACAACAATTAATCATCTATAGGGATCTGGGTTAGGCTGGAAACTCTTCACCCTAAGTGCGAGCAGAAGAAGAGCACTCATATACAAAATACAAACATATAAGACAAATTATTAAACAAAAGACGGGATCGTCGGCGTATATGGTCATGGAGTTGCAAGGGGTGGATTGTTTTTACATAGAATAGAGAGAACAACGAAGAAGAAGAAGAAGAAGAAAAGAAGAATAAAAGAAAAAGAAGGGGGGCCAACACCAGTGGATGGGAAAAAGCAAAAAAAGGGTTAGAGACTTTATAAAGGCATCCTAGTGGGTCATTTTTTTTTTTTTAAATTCGATCCGTTTGAGGGAATTTTTGTTGAGGGCATTTCTAAGAGAGGTTTGTGAAATCAAAGCTATCCATGGAGGGTGGTAAAGTGGAATGTTTGTTATGTAACAATTCTTGTTTCTAGAAAGACTATTCCTACTAACAGGGAATTCCAATTGCCAATGTGATTGGTGCTAATTTTTGCATAAAATAAATACCTATGAAAGAGGAACTTGCGGGATGTAAGTCGAAATTGAGGGTTAGGTGTCCCAATCATAGTTATCAAATCGTGTATCGGAAGGCGTATCGTAAGATACAAATATTATATCGTATTGTGTATCATAAGATACGATGCAATTTTAAATAAATAATAATAAAATATATATACCTTTGAAA